AGGAATTCAACATAGAGCATGCTTTAACCACGCTCCTAATTCACAAATCTCTATCCTTCCCCCAGGGGAACATCTGTGTTCCAGACGTTTTCAATGGCTAATTTGTTTTAGAACAGATCAACAGGTCTTTCTTCTGAGTCTCCTTCTGGGTGGGTTCACATAGTCAACCTTTTTATTAGTAGTCAAATGCAAACCATTTTGTCACCCACAGACTTTCCATAAGATTGTGGTTGTTGCTGTTGATGTTGTACAATGGGTTCCAACTCATAGCAACCTTGCATAGGGTTTACGAAGAGTGGCAGGTGAATTTGAACCACCAACCTTGTAGTGCAAACCAACCTTTTGGTCCAGTGTTTTATCCCACAGCACCACACTAGGCCTCCAATAGATTATTGTTGTTGTTATGTGCCGTGGAGTTGGTTCTGACTCATAGCGACCCTGTACAGGGTTTCCGAGGCTGTAAATCTTTACGGGAGCAGAAAGCCTCATCTTTCTCCCGCGGAACAGCTGGTAGTTTCGAACTGCTGACCTTGCGGTTCGCAGCCCGATTCATAATCACTACGCTACCAGAGCTCCTCCAATAGATTACAGCCAATGAAAACTCTATGGAGTGTAATTCTGCTCTGATACACATGGGGTCACAATGAGCTAGCATGGATTCAATAACAACAGTTTAGTTTAGTCAATACAGAAATGGTTTTTAAGACCCAAGACTGCCTCAGTGCACCCAATAACTGACTATATACTGGGAAGAGAAAGTACAATGATTGAATCTTGGGAAACTCCTATTTGGCTGAGGAAGAAACAACATCAGAGATAGAGAAGGAGCTTAAACCAAGAGAGTATGGTCTCTAGGAAGCTAAGAAATGAAGTATTTCAAAGGAGGGAGTGGTCCACAGTGTCTGTACTCTCACAGCTGACAGGACAGGCAAGATGAAGATTAAGAATTGAACACCACATTTGGCAATGGGAAGGTCACTGCGATCTTAAGATCTGTGAAACTGCTGGGGCAATAAAGGAAAGCTGTTATGAGTTCAAACAGAAGGGGAGAAGACTTGGAGACAACGAGTCTGAACTATTCTTTCAAAGACTTTCAGTGTTAAGGAGAGAGAGAACCAAACGATGGAAGATATTATTATACCATTATGAATATTGTTATAAATAACATAGTAGAAAAGAAAAAAAACTGATGATAAAATTTCAGGGAATGCTTTAAAAGAACACTCCTTAAAACTAAAACTTCAAACAAAGTATACCTACTGTGATGACATGGATTAAAATAACATTCAACTGGGGAAGTAATTTAGTCACTTTTTTTTCTTCTTAATATACGTGAATAACAAAAAGCGGTTACATGTGGATGGACACTTTTCAGAGAAGTCTTTTTAATGGAACTGTTATAGAATTATTGCAAAGTATATGAAATTTTATTTTTGCCATTTCTTGTCTTTCTCTCCTCTGCAATTCTTCCACTGAAAGATGTGAACATTTGTGTGACCCTAAATTTGTACTACACTATCCATCTGTCAGTTTGCTGGCTCAGGAGTTGCTGTGATGCTGGAAGCTATGCCACTAGCATTTCAAATACCATCCGGGTCATCCACGGTGTACAGGTTTCCAGCAGAGCTTCCAGACAAAAATAGCGAAGGAAGAAAAGCTTGCAATCTACTCCTAAAATTTAGCCAATGCAAATAACAGAATTGTGCATGACTTGCTTTCTTTTGACCCATCATCACTCGAGGAAAACAACTTGTTTGATGAAGTAGACTGCCAGTTAAGGGAGAGGGAGACCCACAGTGGTACAATAGTCAAATGATGCACTCAGTGATGTTAACAATTGCGAGGATTACGTTAGGAGGGAGAATGTTTTGTTCTGTGGTACTTAAAAGGTCATTTTGAGTTGGAATTGACCCAACTAAAGTTAACAATAAACTTTCTACCAAAAGTGATCAAATAGAAATATTCATGTTTTGGGATTCATGCAGCATGCTTCTCCTGCAATAGTATACCTAGTTACTGAAATACTTTAGGGGGGAAATGGCATAAAGGATTTACTTGATAACAATCCAGTTGGAGGAAAGAGAAGAACTAGATGGGAGGATAAATTAAAGAAATGATGAAGCTGGGTAATGGGTATATGTTTGTTTCTGATGCCGTTCTCCCATGCTTAAAACTATCCACAATACAGGTTAAAATAAACAAAACAAAAACAGGGTTGATACCAAGCTTGACCCAAAGGAATCCATTAAATGGTAGAGTTTCAGATAATGTGGAAACAAGTGAAGGAACTATTTGGGGGCATAAAAATCTCTCTGGCAATTCCCAAATTATGTCAGGTACATACTGGCCTTTCATATACAGTGCAAGAATAAATGTCTTTTTAACAGATCAGAAAGTGCCTCAGTTGCTTTGAATGTATATTCAGGCAAATCATTTGGAAAACTGATTTTTTTTTTTTTTTAATCAAGTGTTGGTTCTCTTAAACAACCTCCCACTTCAAGTAAGTATAAAGAATTCTGAACAGGGCCAATGAATCTTATTTTAAAAATTAAACCCAAATTTACATTGTTCTTGCGCCCTTCCAGTGAAGATATATGTTTGAGGTGAAGGAGTAGTCCATGCACACAACATGAAATTCATTGTGATATCATTAACACTTTCATAAAGATGTGATCATCTCTAAATTAGGCTTCTGTATAACAATGTAGGTAATAAAGGTTTTTAATCTTTCAAAATGAACCATTAGTGGAGCCAATCGACAGATCTGCAGCATTACCTCTTTAAATATTAACTAGCTAGGTATCTTTCAGTGTTTTTCAGTTACTCACTAACCATTTTATAATATTATTGTTTCTCTCACTGTCAGTAATTTCCAACAAGGAAAGTTGACAAGAAAACTCATATACCTTTTTTTTCTACACAACTTTTTTTTTATTATTAGTATCAGGCTCCTGCTCACTACATGTTCATTATTAAAAGTCCACTATGTTTTTGGAGCTTATAAATTCTAGTTCAAAATTAAAGTTATGTTGTCTTTGTACAATCTAAGGTTCCTTTTCTATGGTTGTACTGCCCTCAACATTTCCTTGGTGTAAACTATTGAGCAAGGGAACAAGATTTTCTTTGTAACTGATACCTAAATTTCTATTTTGCTTTAAGCATCTAATTTGCACTGTGCAGACATATAATTTGAGACTTGTAGCTGTATCACAAAAGTAAAATGGCTTATGCTGATCTCTAATTTTCTGCGTTGTACTGGCTTATAATTTACATTTTTTGCATGTTTTTAACTGCACTGTCAACCAGGATACATCAGAAATCTTTGCATAATGACAGACACTTGGAAAAGGAGGCCTTGTTCTGATTTCAGATAAGCATTCCTTTCTCTGGACTGCAGGTGCAAGAGGGCCCATTCATAATATTTGCTTCAATATTGATGAGAACATGCTATTACATGAAAGACTGATTAATATTAACAAAACTTGATGAATACATATACACATATATATTTTTTTTTAAAAAAACCCTTATTACTATTATTATCAAATTCTAGAGGTAAGTAGGCCTTTTTCCCTTTGTCTACCTATTTGGGACAAGATATACCCTGCTGACACAGCTTCATCATTTTGTTTTTATCTTTGTATGTGTTTACTAAATCTACAAAAATACTTTGTCATTAATTTATGAAACAGGATGTCATTTTGCTCTGTGGAAAAATTCGCTGCAACAAATACACATTTCATTTAAGAGCTAATTGATAGTGAATGTTACTTTTTCTTTTACCCTATGATTCACTGATTTGAAATCAACATATATGCCAAAAGTAACCACAGGATAAAAAATTAGCTCTAATTGCCCTGGTTTCACATAACTAGGTAAATCTCCCTTAGACAAATAAATATTAGACAATTGCATATGTAACAATTAAATAAAGCTAGCTTGGTGTTTCCATTATAAACTCTCTTTAAGGTTATGACTTGACTGATGTATACTTAGCTTCAGGCTGAAACTTGGCACATGACTTCAAAGTGTAGGAATAAATTTATTGTATAAAACAAGTACAATTATTAATTAAACTCTCCGAGACCATAAGAGGTCAAAGAAAGGCTCTAACAAAACTTAAGAGCACAGTAACTACCAAACACAGATGAGGTAAAGTTGAAAAAAAAAAATGTATATAAGTGTATAATGGTAACAATAGAATCATTGCTAAAGTAGATGTTTGACCTATGTTCAAAACTAGTAAAATTTCATCCTAAATAGATTATTACTCTTATTGTATGTTTTATTGCTTACTAACAAACTGCTGCTACTACCTTAAATTTGCATCTAAATCCAAATTCTGCTTTCTTTTGTGATTTGGGGAGGGCAAGTATTATTTTCCTCATTAGACAAATGAGGACAATGAAGTTTATCAAGAGAAAACCTCTCCAAACCTAAGGTAGTTCTGACAGAAGTGACTTGCTGGACCGAAGATCAATCCTGATCCAGGTTTCTCCCTGCTTTTCAGTCTCAGAGATTGATCTAATTGAGAATTCTATCAGGAAAGTTTTTAAAAACCTGAAAAGATGATTTAAAGCAAGTGTATGGCTTTTGTGTTTAATCTTTCAAGCTAAGTACTATGGTAGAAGAAACTGGCTTGCTGTATTCTATTCTTTCATGGACTAAAAAATTCTCATTCCAACAAGTTTATCTACAGTTAGATTCAACTGCAGGTTAGTGGTTAGTGGAATCAAATAACTGGAAAGAGGGGGGATATGTTATGTACAGACTGCTCAAACCCTCAAGGATTGAGCAGAACCCTTATATTGGCTTTTAGAAATTAAACTTCCTCCTCCTCCCTTTTAAACTCCCATATTATTACTGCTTTCCTAACGTACAGTGTCCTCTCATATATTTAGTTATTGCTGTCACTTTGGGGAGGAAATGCTTGACACTTGGTCTCCCTGGGGCCCCTGTGAAGAAAGACCTTGCCACACACCAACACTTCTGAACTTTACCTGGCAAGGATGCTCTGGGCCGGCAGCTGTTCGTGGCAGTTCAAGACCTTTGGGGAAAGCAAGGAAAATATACAATAACAACAACAACAACAAAAAAAAAACTTACCACTCTGGCCCAATCCAAGAATAACTGAAAGCACCCAGGCCGCCCGCAGCGCCTGGGCAGGACCTCGCCGGCAGTTTTGCAAGCTGATAAATGCGGCGGTAAAAAAAGCCAGGGCCCAGCCGCACATAATGCACCGTCGCTCGCACCGCGCCCGCCGCCTCGTTGCCTTCGGGACGCGCTCACGCCTCCCGGGCGCACCTAGGGGTTGGCGGGCCGAGTCTCGCTAGGACGTTTCCTGCAGACCTGGCAAGCGGATCCCGCAGCTCTGAGCTATCGGTGCAGGTACGCGGGCCGGAGCACCGCTCGGCATCTCAGGGCCCCCGCGGCCCTCCCACTTTGGACCGCGGGTCCCGTCGTCTCAGTGAACAGCACCTTCTCAGACGGCCGATGCCCAGCGGGGGAGACGCGAGCTAGGGCTCCGCTGCCCGCTCCGGGACAAAGAAAAGAGCTTTTGTTTCTTTCCAGCCTGTAGGGCTTCTGCTGCATAAATCAGCTCAGCAAAGAGCCAAACACCATCAAACCCAAACAAAGCCCGAAACTGGGGGGGAGGGGGGGGGAACCACCCTAATGTACATTCACTGGGTGCTGTAGCTTCTGTGGGAGGGGACGCCGGCGGGGCCGAAGAGAAAAAAAAAAGTCACTGGTGCATCAATCACCGCGAGCTTCTTCCACAGGTGGGTAGGGAGGCTTGCTCCACTTAGTTGCAGCTTTGCAGCCCCAACAGCGGAGCCGCGGGCAAAGACGAGGCGGCAGCGTTCTGGCTGGCGAGGGAGGAAGCTTGGGGTGCCAGCAGCCGGGGGAGGCGGCTCCGGGAGCGCACTAGAAGCACCCACCAGCGCCCGCTGGTACAGCGCGATACATCGTCACTCCCTGCTCGACCAGGAGTGGTGGGGACGACCGCGAAAGCAGGAGGGGAGGCTCGGCAGGAGTGCGGGAATCAGGCCTTGCGGGGCTAGGGCTGCGTGTCCTGGTCCTTCTGGCCCCAGTGCACTGCTCGGGCGTCCCGCCACCCAGAGTCCGGACAGCTGGCACGTTCTGGGGAGCACTCGGCGAGAACGCGAGGGAAGGGAGGCCGATAATGGGAGGAGGGGAGGTCCTGTCCCGGCCCCCCGGGGGTCTCTCTGCTAGCGGATAGCTGGGCGCGCTCCCGGACTCGAGTTGCTAGGAAACCACCCCACGCTCTTGAGCTTTTTGCCCTGGCGGCCGGCAGGCGCGGCCCGGGGCGGCAGCAGCAGAAACAGCTCCGAGCAGCGTGGGCGGGACATTGGTGAGGCATGAAGTCACCGCGGCCCACACTCGCTCTTTGTTTTGCTCACTCCAGCTCTTTTTTTCCTCCTTGGCTCTGATAGTTGCCATTCCTATCGTTCACAAGAACTCCTGATGCGTAGCCGCGCAACAGGACTCGTACTCCGTGTTCCCTTTCTTCTCCTCCCCCGAATCCCTGCACCCCCAACGCTCGCCAGGAGACTCGCTCCGCACGAATGGCAGCTGCGCGCAAACCCCAACCTCTCACCCCCCGCGCTGCGCGCTCCTTTGTTCAGCGCTACTCACTGTCCTGCAGCTGCTGCAAACCTAACGGAGTCAGGGGCCTTTCCCCGCCCCCAACACCCTCTGCTCCCAAGGAGCAAGCAGCCCACTTTGCTTGAGTTACGGACTCGCTCTCTGTCCCAACCCATGGCCGCCTGGTGTTATCACTCCCCACCCCACCCCCAAGTCCTTGGAGAGTGAGACGGGTCTGCGGGGACTGTAACCCAAGTTGCTATCCCAGACTTCTAGCTTTTCCCAGACGTTGGCGATGGCTCTGAACTTTTGTTACAAACGAGTCTTTATGAGTTTAAGTGTCACCTTCCAAATAAATGGAACAAAGCCGTTACAAACATGGGCAGGACGGGGAGAGAGACGCTGAGAAGATCTGAGGGCACTTCTGCCTGCATGTGGTTCAGAAATTTAGGCACAATCGGGAGTGGGTGTTGTACTGGACAACTGTCTGGGAAGCAGCGCGCCTCCTTGGGTCCTGTCACTTCCACTCCAGGCTAATGAAAGGAACCCAGCCCCTCTTGGATTGCAGAGAAGGCTTTGGAACACTGAGTGATGGCTTTCTTTTTCCTCTAGAGGCAGAAATGGTTCTCCGTGGTGAAGGCTGACCTCTGCTTTCTCCTTTAGCAGTCTAGTCCACCTCTGAGGTAGGACACTGGCCTTGACAGGTATCACAGCAGTCCAGTCAGATTAAGGTGAAATATGCGGGAGTTTCCCCCCTTCTCATTTGTTTAATAGTTTCCATCACCATATTTGGAGTAAAAAAACAAGTAGGAGGCTCTCTCTCTCTTTTTTTCTTTCTGTTTTCTAATTGTTAACTGAGTGAATGGAAAGTACCTGGTTAATTAAGCACAGAACCGAAAACTCCCACTTTACAGGTGTAAACTGCACATTGGAGCCCACAGAATCAGCTAAGAAAACCAGCAGCCCGTTTGGAAAATAAAAGCAGGTCTTTTTGAAATGCCAAAGGCATGATCCAAACTTCAGAAACTGACACTTGTTAAACACAATTGTACTATTGGCGATGCATTATAAATAAACAGGATTAAATCCAGCCCAGTCTCCTTATTTATTTTCTTTCCTTGGCCCCATGTTTGGATAGCTATGGTTTTGGTTTGGGTGGTCTTAGAGTGAAGGGCCTGGAAAGTGATGGAGAAGGGGCTGTGTATGTTTTAGTCCAGAATCCAGATACAAGTAGCCCCTGTTTTCCGGAAGTTTGCTTTATGCCACTTCGCTTTTACAAAAGACCCACATTAGTACCTGCTGTTGCTAATTGTGGAGTCCTGGTGTGGTGCTGTGGGTTAATACGCAGGACTGCAAAATCGGTTTGGACTGCAAAGTTGGTTTGAACCGCAAGGTCAATGGTTCAAGCTCAACAGTTGCTCCTCGGAGACCCTATATAAGGTTGCTATAGATAAGAACTGACTCGACGGCACTTAGTTGTATCCCTGTGGGATAATGTACTGGACCTCAAATTTGGTTTGAACTGCAAGGTTACAGGAAACCCTATAGAGGATCACTATGAGCCTGAATCGACTTGAAAGCAAGCGTAACAAAGACATAACAATCACTAATTGAAAGAAATATGAAAAGGACTTTCACTTTTACGAAAAAAAAAGGTGACAAGGGACACTGGCTTTCATTATTACTATTATTTTGCAGCATGTTGTTAGAGACACCATGTACCCAAGCAACACGAGCAGATACACAAAGCTCCTTCCCCAGGAACAACATTGTACATATATTATTTCTACTATATATATAGGCTGTGTGGAGTCTTGGTGTGACACTGTAGGATAAGCACTGGACTGATAACAGCAAGGTTAGCAGTTCAAACCCACCAGCTGCTCCCCAGAAACTGTATACAGGGTCTCTATGAGTCAGAATCGACATTATGGCACTTACCAACAACAACAGGCTGTGTTTCACATCATTCCTGCTTTTACTTTATGTTAGTGCTATTTTCGGTTTTATATGTTATATGGAATGATTTGGTAGGGTATTTTTTGGATCTGAGAATGGTCAAAATGTTATCCATATAAATTAATGGTAATCATTTCTTTGTTTTATGTCATTTGGCCTAGAAGAGCTTTCATAGGAACACTTTACTTTCTGCTGTTGTTGTTGTTAAGTGCCGTCTAGTCGATTCGGACACGTAGCGACCCTGTATAGGGTTCCCAAGGCATAACTGGTGAGCTTGAACTGTCGACCTTGCAGTTCAAACTGACTTTGCAATCCAGCACATTAACCCACAGCACCACACCAGGACTCTGATCGCAAGGGAAATTACGAATCGGGCTGCTAACCTCACGGTCAGCAGTTAGAATCTACCAGCTGTTCCGCAGGAGAAAGATGAGGCTTTCTGCTCCCATAAAGATTTATAGCCTCGGAAACCCTGTACATGGTCACTATGAGTCAGAACCGACTCCACGGTACTTAACAACAACAACAACAACATATCTAACAATATTTTTTTAAAACATTGCCATCAAATTGATTCTGGCTCATAAGATTTGAAAATTTCAACACAAAATGAACATTTGTACAAATTCTTAAATGGGGCAGCGTGTAGTATATGTTCCATAGGTTACTTCACAGGCTTCAGATATGTAGTTATGCTGAAGATGAGGCAGTGCTGCAATCAAGTGGAGAGGTCATTATGATGCGTGGAGATGAACATTCTGCACTGTAGAATGACCATCACATCAGAGTTTCATGACATAGTTCCAAATCTAACTCTTGATGATGGACTGCAAATAACAGTCATAGTATTAAAATGAAATATAAACTTACTAAAACTATAATGGATGTGGTTTTGTGAAACTGAAGAGGTATGCAGTGATTTTTGAAATTTGGCGTTGTTGGAGTAAATGGTTAAATGCAATGGTTAAAACTGAAAAGTCAGCGGTATGAGTTCCCTCAGGGTTGCCTTAGAAGGAAGAAGGCCCGGTGATCCACTTCCAAAATTATTAGCCATTGACCACCCTATGGAACTTAGTTTGACATACATGAGTTAGAATCCAGTTGATGTTGTTAAGTTCTGTCAAGCCGACTCCTATTCCTAGCAACACTTTACAGGTTTGCAAGGAGCAGCTGGTGGGTTTGAACTGTTGACTTTGTGGTTTGCTGTCCAGTGCTTATCCTACAGTACCACACCGGGAGTCCTATCAACTTGACAGCAACTGCTTTTTTGTTTTTTAAATGTTCATATTGTTGTTAAATGTCAGCCAATCAGTTCTAACCATACATAAGAGTTGATATATTCTGTACACATTGCAAAAACAACTGAGGAGCAAGAGGAATAAAAGGATACTCATAAGTCTTTTTCAGGAAATTCTGAAACCCTTTGAGTAGGATGACTTTATCTTTTGTTAAATGAAGGCCATGCAGATATATGTCAAGAAACCAATTTTATGGAGAATAGACTAGCAGAATTGTAACAAGGTTGTAATTCAAGTTACAGAGATAATATATGACAGATTATTTTTTTATGTGATATTTACAAATTATTTACAGAACTTTACTGAAATCCTGCAAGCCATTGATAGTTTTTGTTTTTTGTTTTTTTAAGCCATAATAAAAGGAACAAAAAGTCTGGTTTTTCCAATAAATGTCACTGTTCACACAAAACATCCTTCTTCCTGTAAGGAAATGTACAGGATATTGTAAAGCAATGCAATGTTGCTTCCTTTATCATATTGCTTGGAGAATTCTGATGAAGGAAACAATTATTTCCAAAGATGGACTTGATTAATTCCTGGTTTTCAGTATGTTCCACTGTCTTGCTTTGACATTTCTGAAGCTAACTTTTGATCATTTGTGGTAATATGAGCGAATGAAATTCAGTCTGAAAATAGCATTTTAGTTATTCATTCCTATTATCACACTCTTTGTGTTGCTAATAAGTCATAAAATTAGATGGCTTATGTTTCTTTCCTACTCTTTAAACCTTGATTTCTCACTAATTCAGTTTATAACAAGAAACAAATTAGCCAAGGGCAGATAGTAGGAGCAAGAGAGATATCTGAGATACTGCTCTTTCAATTGAGTATTCAGTCTCTAAACACGGTTTTGTGCAAATTTCTGACCTCATAAACCAAAAAGAAAAAAAGAAAACCACTGACAAAACCCCTTTACTGTCAAGCAGATTCTAAATTCCAGCTCCTGGCACTTCCATGTTTTTATGGAGCATAGCTTCTGTCTCTGTGGGGTTTCTAGGGTGCCATCTTTATAGATGCAGAGCACCCGGCTTTCCATTTGTGAATCACTGTATTTGAACTGCAAAGCTTTAGGTTAGTTGTCAAGTACATTTATGACTTGTCTGGTAGTATAATGAGGAAGCAAAAGGTGGGTTGTTGTTAAGTGCCATCAAGTTGATTCCGACCCATAATAACCCTGTATAGGGTTTCCAAGAAGCAGTTGGTGAGCTTGAATCACCGACCTTGCAATTCAAATGACTTTGCAGTCTGACGCATTAGCCCACAGTGCCACACCAGGACTCGAAAAGCTGGGTAATGAAGGACATATTTGAATCCAGTTATCATTGTGGACAACTGTAATTTACTCCTCTAAGAGCGCTTGGGGAAAAGGTACTCAATGTTATTTAAATATGATATGTGACACTATCAGTCCTTAAATGGTTTGAGACATGTTTGTCATTACCTAGGTACAAAAATCTAAAGTATGTA